ATTCTTTTAGAAAGATTAATTCATTGTGACTTTAATTAGGAACATTAGCAGTTAGTCCCAAAAAATATGGAAAGAGGACATAACAATTGAGATTTTTATTATGGAAACTCAGTAATAAAAATTATTTGGACAATATAGTGAGTGCTGTTTTTCTTAGCTTAGATACAGATTCACTTTTTGATGAGAAATACTGAAAGACTCTTATTCTACAGGAAGCAGTGTGGTTCCTATCTAACATCACTGCAGGAAATCAGCAGCAGGTTCAAGCCGTAATTGATGCCAATCTTGTACCAATGATAATACACCTTTTGGATAAGGTAAGAAAATCATCTTACACCCGGTCTCAGTGGCCAGCTCAGCACACCTGGGGGAGGGCGGGGCCTGGCTGGCCTACCATGTGGTGCTGGGAATAACCGTGATCCCTGTGCTTGCCTAAGCACACACTTAGTTTGCTGAGCTGTCTCACCAGCCCCTGGGCTTTCTATATTTTTCCTTTATCAGATAGACAATTTTTTCTGGGAGTTACTTTAAACTTATGGTTGATAATAAATGCTTGCATATCTTTCTTTTATTTATTTATTATTTTTTTGGCAGAACCGGGGATTGAACTCAGGCCCTTGTGCTTCCCAGGGAAGTGCTTATTCTACTGAGCCATCTCCCCAGCCCCTCTTGCATATTTTTCTAAGCACTTCACAAAATTACCTTGTGTAATATAAGGCTGTAAGAATAAGGATTATCTCCATCTGACTGATAAACTGTTAAAACAAATTACCTAACATCAAATAGCAAGTAATTTGTGATAATAATTGTGTACTATATAATCTCTCAGGCACATATTTACATTTTGAGAGAATTTACAGTCATACCATTAGAATTTCTACTCAGTGCTTGTCTATAATTAAAAACAGTAATATCTCTGTGTGTCTTCTGTGTTGTTGCTCATGACTCTTTAGTAAAGAGCTTCTCTTTATGAGCGGTTGCTTACTCTAAAATATGTAGTTCATATAAGAAAGGCCAAAAAAAAAAAGGCAAGATAGGTGCTATAGGAAGCTAGGGCAAGATTTCAAGTTCAAGCACATCCAGGAAACTTAAGCGTTAGACCATGCTTCAGAGAAAAATACTGACATTAAGGCTGGGGATTAGGAGGTCCTGGATTGTCTCCAGTACTGCAAAAGGAAGAGGGGCAGGGGGACAACAGAAACGCTTCTCTTTATCAGTTAGTTTTCAGTCTTTGTTATGTGGTTCCTACCAACTTCTGTGGGAGACCAGAGTATATTTTTTAGTGTCATTAGGAAATTGCGGTTTTGATACGTGTTTTTCATGTTACATTCCATTTTAGTATCATTTTCACATTCAAATTGTCCCTGACCAGTGGGAATTTCTGAAAGTTTGTATGTGTGCTTTTTTATATTGCCCTTGATAGTTATAGAGCTTCCCACCTTTTTAATATTACATGATTATCAGGGTTATCTTGTAACTGTATTTTTAGACCTAGCTCTGGAATTAACTATCCATGGTTTGATTGTTTTTTATAGGGAATAGTGTTAAAGGATGATAGTTCAGGTGAAAAAATGATCACTGTTACAAGGTTGTCATTGTTTCTAGGCCTGGGTAAACTAAAAAAATAATGTTTCTATAGAGTATGAAAGATAGATGAGTTCATAAGAAATGAATTGTGACTGAAAGCCATTAAAAATTACAGAATACTTAGGATAACAGGATTATCTTTTTTTTTTTTTTTTTTTGGTGTATTTTAGGGAAGGGTCTACAGGGTGTTCAGGATCTCACTACTAGATCTGACTCGTAGTGATTTTGCTGTTAACAGCCTCCCAGGTGCTGGGATTACAGTTGTGTGCCACCACACCCAGTCTCAATTGCTTTCTCAGTGTGCCCTTGGGGTGGGGCCAGCACAGCAGGCCCAGGGATCGAATCCCTGGCCCCTGCACCTGCTTGCAGAGCGCTTTAATCTGCTGAGCTATTTGGCCGGCCCATGGATTATCTTACATAGTATTTTCAAATATATTACTTACAGGGGCCAGGGAGATGACTCAGTGGAATAAGCGCTTGCCCGGCAAG